TGCTGCTGCTGCAGCGGCTGCAGCAGAAGCAGCAGCAACAGCTGCAGCAGCTGCTGCTGCTGCTTCTGCCGAAGCAGCAACAGCTGCTGCTGCTGCTGCTGCTGGGAGTGCACGCACCTGCTGCTCGGCCACAGCGAGGCGGGCCTGCAGCTCGTAAAGGCTGGCCCTCAGGGCCCTGCGGCCTTCAGGGCTTTCTTGCCAAATTGCAGAATCTTTTTCCCCAATTGTTTCTTTTTGGGGGCCCCCCTCGAGTGCTGAGAGTCCACACAGGACCCCTGAGGGGTCTTCGGCCCCAGCGCTCTTGGGGGGCCCCCCAGGGGGCCCCCCGGGGCCCCCGCCCTCCTTGGGGGGCCCCCCGGGGGGCCCTCCGCAGTCCTTGGGGGGCCCCCCGGGGTGCTGCTGCTCCTCCTGGGCTGCGGCAGCAAGTGACTCCTGCGGCCCTAGAAGCGCGTGGGGAGGCGATCCACCGCTGCTGCTGCTGCTGCTGCTGTTGCCGCCGCTGCTGCTGCTGCTGCTGCTGAGTAGCTGGCAGCAAGGCTCAGGGGATCGGCGGGGGATGCTGGTAGAGCTGCTGCTTCTGTCTTCTTTGCTGCTGTAGTAAATCAAGCTGCTGCAGTCAGAGGCATCAGAGGAGACGCTGAGAACTCCGTTGCTGCTTCTTTGTGCGCTGCTGCTGCTGCTGCTGCTGTTTCTGCTGCGAGGAAGGAACGGCTGGGTGTCGGCTTCGTTGCACAGGGGAGGCACTGCAGCAAAAGCAGCAGCAGCTGCTGCTGCTGCGGAGCCCTGGAAGCTGCCTACGTTGCTGCGCGGGCCCGCCGGGCCCGCAGCGGCGTCATCAGCGGGGCCCTCAGCAGCAGCAGCAACTGCTGCTGCTGCACTAGCAGCAGCAGCAGCTGCTGCTGCTGCAGAGCCACCAGCAGCTGGTGTTTCCTCCGGGGAGCAGCAGCTAGGCAGAGCCAAAGCCCCAGGGGTCACTTCAGGCCCCTGCAGCACTTTGCATGCAGCATAGACCCGGGGCCCCAGCAGCCGCTTGAGCACGCTGCTGCTGCTCTCTGCTGCTGCTGCTGCTGCAGCATCTCTGCGCTGCTGCTGCTGCTGCTGCTGCAGAGGGAAGACAGCCCCTTCATCAGGCGAAGCCTCAGTCAGGGGAAATGTAAGGGGGCCCCAATATGCATCTTCTAAAAGGGCCCCAGGGTCACCTAGGGGGCCCCCCGGGCTAATTTGGGGGCCCCCCGATAGTGTGGAGAGTGCTGCGTCATCACTGCGGCTGAGTTGCTGCTGCAGCAGGGTCTTCTGCTGCTGCTGCAGTGACTTCTCCCTCTCGAGTTGGTCGTGCTGCTGCTGCAGCAGCTGCCGCCTCTGCTGCACCAGCTCCTGCTGCTGCAGCAGCCGTTCCTGCTGAGCAGCTATGGCTGCTGCGCTGCAGGTGCACGCAGCAATACTGCAGCAGCAGAGAGGGCAACGCCGCAGCCATGTCTTTCCCCGTGCTGCAGCAGCAGCAGCTGCTGCTGCTGGAGGTGCTGTTCCCGTTGCTGCTGTTGTTGCACTTGCTGCATCAGAGACCCCAGAGGTTAGCCGGCTCTGGGACTCCAGGCCTTTTTGCTGCAGAGAGCTCGAGGGCCCCCAGCTGGCGGGGGGCCCCCTACCTGCTGTTTCTTCCATGAGTAAGAAGGGTGCTGGGGGGCCTCTGGGGCTGCCAGGTACAGCAGCTGCAGCGGGGGCCCTCGAGAGACCTGCCTGGGCGCAGCAGTAGCAGCGGTGAGGCCACTGGTCTGCTGCTCCTGCTGCCGCTGCTGCTGCCGCGGCCTCCGCAGCTGCTGCTGCTGCTACTGCTGCTGTGGACTGAAAAAATGCTCTATTATTTCGTATTTGTGAGGTGTTACAGCAACCTCAAGCCGCAGACGGGCAAGAGCAGCAGCAGCTGCAGCAGCCGCCTGCAGCAACCAGGCGCAGCCGACTGTGGCCAGCTGGGGAGCTGGAGAAGAGACAGAGGGGAAACAAAAGAAAAATAAATGAATAAATTAAAATTGCGTCCAAATAGAGAAGTAACAAATTGTGAAGAGGGAGGAAAAATGAAGAAAAAACACTTCGGGCTCGCGCGAGACTCGGCGCCGACCACTGCTGCTGCTGCTGCTGCTGCTGCTGGTGCCGCTGCTGCTGCTGCTGCTGGTGCCGCTGCTGCTGCTGCTGTTGGTGCTGCCGGTTTATTGGGATGGTAAATTCATCAGATTAAAGATAAAGATGGAAGGTGAAAACCAAACAAGGACAGGCTGCAGCAGCGGCGGCCCTGCGGGCCGCCAGGCCAGCGAGCAGCGTCGATTGCTTCTCTTTTCATCTTTCTTTCGCAACTGTCGTTCCATCTTCATTGAAAATCATTTTTAAATACTTTTTCTGATCTATTTGGCAGAAATTTGAACCCTTTTGTCCCACTTGTGGCTCCGTTTGGCCCCCTACAGCCCCCGCCGTAGACCCTAGACCCTAAACCCTAAATCTTACTGCGGGGCTACAGCGAAAACCCCAAACCCTAAACCCTAAAAGATAGACCCTAAGAGCAGAAACTGAAGCTTCACCCGTAAACCCTAAACCCCAAACCCTACAGATGTGCTGTGAGCTCGGAGACATCCTGGGGAGAACTTAAAGCCTAAACCCTAAACCCTAAACCCTAAACCCTAAACCAAAACTAGAAGACTGTTGCACGCGCGCTGCTGCGGAGTTCCCTCCTGGCCAAACAGCAGCAGCCGCAGCAGCAGCACAGCTGCTGTTGCTGCAGCCTAAGCGCCAGCTGTTGATGCTGGCTGCGTCCTCGCAGCAAAGTATTAACAAGCTGCTGCTGCTTCTGCTGCTGCTCCTTCTGCTGCTGCGGGAACACTTACACTCGTCTCTGTCGCTGCTTCTGCTGCTGCTGCTGCTGCAGCAGCAGAAATTCTTCTTAGGGTCCGAGTGCCCCATAGGCAGGCCGGCTTGACTGCAGCAAATGGTGCTCCTCTGTCGCTCACGATTCTGCTGCTGCTGCTGCTGCAGCAGCAACTGCTGCTGCTGCTGCAGCGGCCTTAGAAATCTAGCCCCGCCTTCCGCGCTCCATCAGCCAGCGCAGCAATTCTCCCTGCATATCTGAAAAGGGAAAATGCAGCAGCACAGCATTAAACAGCTGCAGCAGCAGCAGGTGCTGCTGCTGAGGCAGCAGCGAAGCACCAGCAGCAGCGGCAGCTGCTGCTGTAGAAATGCAGTAGCACACGATTAAGCAGCTGTAGCAGCTGCTGCTCCTGAGGTGGCAGAGAAGCAGCAGCAGCAGCTGCTGCTGCTGCTGCTGTTGAGCCAGCAGCAGCTGCTGCTGCTGCTGCTGTTGAGCCAGCAGCAGCTGCTGCTTCAGAAGGCAGCCTGTGCGCCTGGCTGCTGCAGCAGCACGGTCCCGGCTAAGCAGCAGCAGCAACGCATGCATGCAAGCAGCAGCAAAAGGGGCCCCCACTTACTTGTATTGCTTCCTGTCAAAATAAACTTTAGAGACTCCAGCCCGGAGGCCCCTTGCAGCCACGAGGGCCCCCACAGCTGCTGCTGCTTCCAGAGTGCCCCCGTGCTGCCTCGCCACCAATCCTGCAGCAGAAGCAGCAGCAGCAGCAGCAAAAGCAGCAGCGGGAGATGTGGCAGCTGCTGCGCCCGAGAGGACGGCAGCAGCAAGCCCCAACACTCGACCGCCGCTTCCCCCAACAGCAGCAGCAGCACCAGCGACCGCGCAAGCTGCACCCACTGCAGCAGCAGCAGCAGCAGCAGCAGCAAACTTGCCTCTTTTTCTTTTGACCGTCTTCAAAGTGCCAGCAAGCTCTTTGTCCATGGAGGAAGCAAAAGCAAATGTCTGCTGCCCCGAAGGGTCTGTAATGCATGCATAAATGTGGTTGTTGCTGAGGGTTGCCGTTAGACGCAGCCGCCTGCTGCTGCTCGCAGGCGCAGCAGCAGCGGCAGCAGCAGCAGCAGGTCCTGCTGCTGCGGCGGCTGTTGCTGCGGCTGCTGCTGCAGCCTCCACGGCCGAAGGCTTCTCCTCTGTTGGCGCCTCGCTCATTGTCCACAGCACTCTGGTGCCCCCATCTGCTGCTGCGGCATCAGCAGCAGCAGCAGCAGCTGCTGCAGCTGCTGCTGAAGCCGCTGCTCGCTTGTTCTCGCTAGAGAAGCAGCAGCAGGGTTCAGGGGGCCCCCGAGAGCGCCCCAGCCAGGGGGCCCCCACTTCCAGAAGCAGGGGGCCCCCCCTAAAGCTGTTTGTGGGGCCCCTCAGCAGGAACGCGGAAGCGCTGTTAGGAAAGTGCAGCAGCAGCGGCAGCAGCAGCAGCAGCAGCTCCTCCAGCAGCCGCCGCTGCTTCATCATAGCGGGCCTCATGCTGCAGCTATACCCATTCACACGTTGCCTCTGGGGGGCCCCCCGGGGGCCCCTCTCTGCACAGTGAGTGCCGGGGGCCCCCGGGGCCCCTGGACGGGCCGAAGCAGCAGGGCCCCTGCCAGGCCAGGCCAGTCTAGAGGCCCTTACAAACCAAAATATAATGAATTAAATCAATTTAAATTAATTTAAAAAGAAAAACTGAACAAAGGAAGAGAAATAGACGGAAAGATTGGCTTGCTGCTGCCGCGGTGGGGCCCCCGAACTGCTGCAACGGGGGCCCCCCGAACCCCGGGGGGCCCCCGGGGGAGTTTGAAGGGAAGAAAACCCTAAGAGCTGCCTATTATACTTATTCAACAGAAAGAGAAGAATGTCTTTGCAGCCTTCTGCCACGACAGCAGCTTCAGCAGCAGCAGCAGCAGCAGCAGCAGTGACAGTGACGACTTGAGTTTCAGCAGCAAAAAAGCGAAGGCAGAGGGAAGGGAGCCACTGCACCAAACGCTGCAACAGGAGCTGCAGCAGTAACAGCAGCAGCGGCAGCATCAACACCAGCTGCGGCAGCAGCAGCAACAACACGAGCTGCAGCAGTAGCTGCATCAACACCAGCTGCAGCAG